GACCGCTGCATGACATTGTCGATGAAGATTGTATGCCGCTTGGTCGGCGCCAGCTGGCTCTCGACACGATCAAGGAACGGGGTCTTATCGTGCTCGCAGATGGCAACCGCTTGCCACCGCCGCGTGGGCTTGTGTACTCCGCCCACATGACCTGCTTTGATCTCAACGTGCTTCAACAGCTTATACCTGTCCTGAGTTGTCACGTCCTGCATCAACTTGAGGACGGCATCTTGTGGAATGGTGTCGAAAGCAGCCTTGACATCCAACTTGACAAAGTAGAGCTTTCCTGGGGTGTCTCCTAGGCTGTTTTTAAATGCATTCAACCGCCGGTAGACATCCGGAACAGAGAACATTGAGGCACCCAGCTTGGATGGGTCGAGTTCCTGAGTCGTCAGTCGATGCTTCACCTCGTACCAGGAGGGAAGGCTTACCTTTTCCAATTTCAAGGCCGAGTACACCGGCCCAAGAATTGAGTTGATGCTCAAACCCAGCATCTTTTTGTTGCCAATCGGCGCGGCCCTTCTTCGGAGATTGGTGATGGGGCGCATGGAGATTTGTTTGGGCAGCAGCCTGACCTGGCTGAACCCAAGTTTCCTGTTCTCCAATATCCTCCGTGCATGATCCAGCTTAACCTCCTCAAACATGGTGGCCTTGAGCTCCGCCATGGCTGGCTCTGCCACGTAGCGCCAGATGTCGTGACGAAAGAAGAACAACTTGTACCGATGAACACTGGACTCAGTGACATAAAAATTACTACGCAGGAGGGGTATCAAAAGGGAATCAAAAACATAGTAGAGGAATTCGTTCAAAATCTCGAGGCGCTTGTTCATGTCGGTTAGGCTAGTCTTCTGGGACTTTAAGCCCGGTGGTGCTAACCAACCGATGTCTGTCACCTAGGATTTCCTTGTCAGCCGAATAACACAACATGGGTAAGGCCTCGCACCTTGAGACCACTTGCAACTTCACTGAGCGATAACGACTCGAACCTGCGAAGCTTGACAAAGTGGTGCACCTTCGTCATGACCAGCTGCTTATTAGACCTCCGAGAGGAGCCCGAGCCCCAGAAGTCATCGGGTATGAGTTTTGCAAGAACCGCTTGGCAAAAGGCCGAAACATGGGCGACAGGCGTTGCCAAGTCTGTGATCGTCTCGAATGTAACGGTGGGCTGTGGTGGCTGTTGTGCGATCTGTGTAGACCTGCGATAGTCTTTGCCACCGGACTTTCGTCGCAGCCCTGACCTTTTCGACATTGTCTGTTGGGTTGCAGAAAGTGATGTCCGTTTGCCAAGGGCCGTTTTTTGGCCCCCAGGCTGATCTTGTATGGAACGTCGTTGTCCAGCATTGGCATCCAGCGCAGATGGGCAATAATGTCGGAGCAGTTCAGTATACGAGCACCGAGCATGCCGGACCTGTAGACGCTGGATCAAACGGACGACTTCCCCACGCAGCCTTTTGGGCAGGGATTTAGGCTTGTCAGTTCCGGATCGTCCCGATTGAGGATAGAGAGACTTGATCTCGTCCTCTCGTAGGGTATAATCCTGGAACTTCTGCGTTGTCTGCCGTCTGTCGACTTCGGAAGAAAAGACGTTATGCAGGCCGAACTGTCGTGGGAAAACGTACATCAGCAACTTCCGTGTGCTATCTTCAAACTTGCTCGGAATCCCTGATTCCACTGTCCCAAGCATTGTCATGCCTGGAAGCGGACATCGATTCAGAACATCTGCAATCACGGTTAGCAAAGAGCAAGCGTTTGTGGGAACGAGAGCCTTACGAATATGACGAAATCCAAAGAGCACGAGACCTCGAGTGTTGAGTGCGGCTCGTGCATACATCATACGGCTTCTGACGAAGGTGATGTCAGACAGCGGTCGCTGTGGTACTGTGCCCGGCAGTAGAGCTTTGGACAATTGGCTCTGCGCTGGGCTCAATTCCGACAAGGGCACACCGCTTAGCTGATACATGTTGTCCAATCCCGCCTGGATGGGCGTGAACATGGCTCCATCAACAAGAAGATCAATCATGATACTCTCCCCTGACTTGCCCAGTAACATGAGTAGCTCCGGCCAGGGGCTCTTCTTCAGAGCCTGCACATGGTGATTTGGGTACATGGAAAGCAGCCCAGGAATGGCCGATGTGGCGGCATGCGTGGCATTCCTACGAAAGCCATCACAGAGGAGATGCTTAGGCCAGGTGGTGTTGCTGCCTTGTTGGGAAAAGAGAAGCCAGACAACGAAGTCAACAATCTGCGTGGGGTCCATGTCAGCAAGCATTGGGGGAAAAAAAGCATGGGACAAGGCTATGCAAACCTCTGCCTGAGAAAAGAGGGCGTCAGACAATCCGCCCGATAGCGTCACATAAGACTCGTCGCCTCTCTGAGAGAACTTGGTCCATTCCTCCCGTCGAACATTGTCATCTGCTGCTGGCAGTTGACTGTGTTGAAGGCCAACAACAGTAGTGTCCAGCAGATGGCACAGCTGACGTTCAAGGTCGCCTCTAAAATCGGCCGAGGAGCGGGGCTCTTCGGAGCCAATGCTGGCTATCTTCTTGCGACGAAGTCTTGACGCGCTTGGCAACTTGGAGATGAGATAATGGCGTAATGATACAATTTCAGGGTAATACTGCCGAAGCAGAGCGTGCTTTACGGGATTGGCGGTGGCATGGATTCTGGCCTTCTTTGGCGGTGGAGGTCTTTCATGGCTCGCGCCTTTGTCTTCATCGACCCTCTTCATCCCAGCTCGGACGGCGGTTGCCATTGTGGCATTTGTCGGTGGGCATTGGAGGGTGCAGAATTGTTGAGGGTTGTCGAGCGAATCGTCGGTGAGGCCAGGCAAAACAACGCCACGGCGATTGGACCGACTTCTCACGATTCGACCCCAGGCAATTGGTACAGGCGATCAACGCGTTTGGCTGACGTTGCAATTGGCTCACAACGCGTCGGCTCGGCGCGGGTGGTGATGGATGAGCGCGATGCCTGTCCAGTCGTTGAGTCGATCAAATGGGTGTGGGATGTGGCAGCGCAGACTCGAGGCGGAGGCATCCAGTGGCGCGCAGCGTGGCTCCCGGTTGGCCCAGGGCCTGAAACGACATTTAGGCCCGTATTCAGACCGGCAAAGTGTGCGCTAGAGAGGAGCTCGGGCTCTCGCCAACCGCCAATCTTGGGGC